CAGCGGGAGGGCCCGGGCACAGGGGCGCTCCGCAGGAGGTCAAGGACCGCGCAGGAGACCCAGTCGGAGCCCAGGCCGAGACGCGGGCGGGGAGGAGCCGGGAGGAAGGGGCGGGCGAGTGGGCGGGCGGCGCCGTCTCGCAGTCGCTTCGGTGGCCGCGGGCGGGCGGGCGCAGGGTAAGTGCTCCGGGCCCGGGGTCGGCGCGCCCCCTCTCCCAGCCCCCAGCCCCACCCTCCCAGGGCTGCGTGGTCCCGGCAGGACCCCCGGCCCCTGTTGCCCTGGTTGTAGGGCGGCCCAGCGCTGCCCAGGGGAGGGCGCCCCTCGGCCCCGGACCTGCCCCGGGAAGCTGAGTGGTGCTCTGGGCCAGGTGCCCTCGGCTCCTCCTGGCACGCCGCGGCAGCAGCAGGTGAGGTAGGGCCCTGGCCGTCTCCCTCTCACAGGTGAAGAAACCAGCACCCAGAGTGGCCAGGCCACTTGGCTTGGGTCGCACAGCCGCAGGAGGCAGAGCCAACTCCAACACCAGGTCCGTGGGAACCCCGGCATCCTCCAGGGAGACCGCAGGGGCTCAGGGGGCGGGAGGTAGGGCTGGGGCCCCAGCGGCTCTCCCCTGGAGAGGGACCCTGAGGAACTGGAGGGTGGGTTGGAGGCACAGGGGCAGCGATTCCTCCCTGGAGCCCCTCAGCCTGGCCCTGGCACCTCTACGGGGTGCAGGGCTCCTGCACGCGGGGCGTGAGACCGCCTGCACGGCCCCCCGGCTTCTCTGTCTGTCCCGTGGGGCTCAGCGTGGTGCCTGCCTTGCCCGGCAGAGTGTGAAGGCTTAGCCCAGCCGCGCCCCCTCGAGAGCCCCTCCCGGCCCTGCACGGGCTGCAGCCCCTGAAGCCCAGCTTGGCCCAGGCCCTCCGAGGTGTGCAGGACTTCTGGACAGTCAGCCTCTAGAAGCTGCTTGAACAATTCCAGGCTGGGGGGTAGCAACTTCTCCCCCCACCCCACCCCCCACCCCGACTCCCCCGGTGAGAGCTGCTCCTGCCGGGCTTTGGCAACCTTTGAGGTGAGGCTTGCACAACCCCAGAACTGGCCTGCAGCCTCGAAGCCCTCTGTGGCCATGGGCTTCGCCAGGAGGGGGAAGTCCAGACCGCTCTGGCCCCCGCACCTGCTGCTTCCTGGTCACACAGGCCCGAAACCCCGGGAGCCATCAGCTTCACGCCTCCTCAGCCTCTGTCATAGCCCATGGACCGGAAGTCCTGCCCTAAGCATATCCCAGACCTGGCCACCGCTCCGCGTCTCCCCTGAAACCCCAAGCCCAGGCCCCGTCCTCTCCTGGCGCCCCCGGCCGTCTTCACGTCCTCGGCGTTGCCTCAGGTGTCCACGGCCCTCTTGCTCCTCAGCCTGCTGCTTCTGCGAAGTTCTCGGCGCTCTCAGGGCCCGGGCCCGTGCTCTCCCCTTTCCCGGGAAGGCTTAGCCCCGGAGTCTGCTTGTGCCCTGGGCACTAGGAGGTCATCCTGACCACCCGCCCGGCCCAGGCCCACTACTCTGTTTGCCTTTCGCCCCGGGGGATATGGTCTTGTCCACATGTTTCCTTGGTGGAGCCGTCTGCCCACCAGCACCCTGGCCTTTGTCCTCAGCCCTGCATTTCCCTGGGATCGAGTGAGCAGCACGGGCACTGCCAGCCTTGCATGCACGTGTGCCCTCGTCGCTTCCCCGTGGCCTTGCACCTCCGCATGGACCTGGGCACAATCATCGCTTTCGGCCACTGCCCTGCGCAGCTTTTCTCCAGCTTAGCCGCCAGCGTGGTTGTCCATACCGCGCAGGTTTGAGCTGCTGTCTTTGCATCTGGTTTCCTGAGTGAGGTGTTGAGGTCAAGGGCGTGGTCGTAGTGCAGGCCTTGCCACTCCCATGCTCCCACAGAGCAGCTGGCCACAGCCCTGTGCACATGGGGTTTTATCTTTTGGGGCTTTTTTTTTTCCCCCAGGATAGGTTAATGGGAAAGGCGGCTGCTTGAATTGGTGAGGTTGGCTGCTTCTCTCCGTGTGCTGGGTCTATTTCCTGTCTGGGGGAGGAAGGAAGTCTCCAAGCCACCTTAATTCTCCCTTTCGCCTCCACTTGCGGTGATGGTTCCACTCGAGCCCTCCTTGTGAGAGCAGGGTGTGGGCCCCAGGGGGCCGCTGGCGAGCACAGAGCTAAATTCTGCTGGCTTCCGAAGCTGCTCTGTCAGCCAACCAGCAAGAAACTCTTTGAAAGTCCCGTGCACCCTTGGCTCCAGACCAGGGCGCAGAGGATGAACGCTTTTTTTAAGTCTTTGTGACTTTTTTTCAGAATTGTAATATTTTAGATTTTCTTGCTTATCAAAGTAACACAGGGCTTGCAGGGTCAGCCGCTGAGCTCTTGGGGCTGGAAGAGGCCCGGAAGCCGCCTCAATATTGTTCGCTCGTAGAACTCATGCTGCTGCGGGGACTCCTGCAGCGCTGTGGCAAGGCGTGCCCTGTGTCACTCCCCTGTGATCGCCGCAACAGACGACCTTGGTGGCTTAAAACAGCGAGGCGCTTGTTAATTGAAGTCCGAGGTCCGTCTCCGTGGGCCACCCTCCAGGTGTGGTCCTGGCTGGATTGCTGGGGTGGGGGGGTGGCTCTCGGGGACAACCTGTGGGCCGCCTGCGCCAGCCTGCAGAGACTACACGCTCCTCGTTTTATCTTGCAAACCATCAATCAACGCAGATCTTGGGTCACCCTGTGGCTCCAGCCTCTGCTTCCATGATTCCTGATTCTCCCGCCCCCTCCTGATTGCCCGGGGCCCACCTGCTCAGTCACAGGTGCAGTGTTCCTTCCTCCACACAGGGAATGACCACGCAGGTTGCAGAGACTAGCATGGGGCGTGCAGGGAGGGAGTGTGTTACTCCACCCTGAAGGGAGAGAAGCGGGGGCTCACATTCCTGGGAGGAGAAACCTGGGGGCAGCAGACGGGTGTGAAGCGTGGAGCGCTCCGGGAGGGCGGGCACGGGGACACCAGGCGGATCTAAGCTTCTTACCACTCGCACGTGTCGCCTGTGTTCAAGAGAATTTTTAGAAGTCATGCAGTCACGGTGAAGTTCAAAGTTTCCATAGCAAAAAGAGAAGGAAGATACCCAGCCCACCCCCACCCCCACATCTCTCCTCGGCCCACCCCCAACCCCACATCTCTCCCCTTTCGGGCCCAAGAACCGCTGCGCAGGGCTGGGCCGTGTCCTTGCAGACTGGGGGTTTGTGTCCCGCAGGAGGGGTCGCGCTGTACACTCTGTGCTGTTGCTGACTGCTGTGCCCACCGAAGGCCGGACAGCAGGCCCCCCAGAGGCGTGTACAAAGCTCTGAGCGGGCCCCGTGCCTGCCCTGTGCTGTGTGCTGCTTCTCAGGGCAACCCGGACACCTTACTCTGTGTGTGTGTGTGTGTCTCCTAATTGGCATGAAATTCCCATGATGTAAGGTGGACAAACCATTTATGGTTTCGTACTTAGAAACAGACTTGACACTGGGCAGGGCTGGGCCTGGCAGAAGCGAAGAGCCGGGAACTCCGGTCTGGTTTCCCTGGTGGATGGCTGGGGTCCGAGTGCTGCGCCCTCGCCTGCTGCCTCCCAGGGTCTGCATAAGCAGGAAGCTGGAGTCAGGAGCTCACCCAGGACTCCAACCCAGGATCTTAAGTGCTAGGACAAACTCCTGCCCCCAAATCAACCACTTTGTTAATTTTTTGAAGCTTTATTTCATTTACTTGACAGAGAGAGTGACAGGGAGAGCCAGGTCTGTCCACTGGCTCTCTCTCCAAGCGCCTGCGGTGGCTGGGATTGGCTGATGCAACGCGGGCGGCAGGAACAGTCTCTTGAATCCTCACTGCTGCCTCCCGGGGCCTGCATAAGCGGGGAGTTGGCGTCGGGAGCCGGGTGCAGTGCTCGGCACTCCACTGTGGGTGCAGGCATCTTAACCAGTGTGTCGCCGAACCGCAGGGCTGAACGCCTGCCCTCCAGAGAGAGCATTGTTACCAACCCCGTGCCCACTGAGCAGCCCCTCCCCGCCTCCTCCCTTCTCTCTGACCCTGGCAGCTGCCCACCTCCTTTCTGTCTCGGGTTGGCCGATTCTAGACATTGCATGTCAGAATCCCGTGATAGCCAACGTCTTCTGTGCGGTTGATGTCCGTCGGTGCCCACGCCACGGCGTGCATGAGTCTGCATTCCTTTCCTGACTCAGCTCCTTTGTCTAGGTCAGCTTTGTGCACCCCCTCCTCGCTTGGGCTGCTTGTCTGGCTGGCTGGGACACTCGGAGCGGTGGGAGATTCTGTTGGCCTGCTGGGACACTCGGGGCAGTAGGGGGTTCCGTTGGCCTGCTAGGACACTAGGGGTGGGGGTGGGGTCCTGTTTGCCTGCTGGGACACCTGGGGTGGGGGTGGGGTTCCGTTGGCCTGCTGGGACACTAGGGGTGGGGGTGGGGTTCCGTTGGCCTGCTGGGACACTAGGGGTGGGGGTGGGGTTCCGTTGGCCTGCTGGGACACTAGGGGTGGGGTGGGGTTCCGTTGGCCTGCTGGGACACTAGGGGTGGGGGTGGGGTTCCGTTGGCCTGCTGGGACACTAGGGGTGGGGGTGGGGTTTCCGTTGGCCTGCTGGGACACTAGGGGTGGGGGTGGGGTTCCGTTGGCCTGCTGGGACACTAGGGGTGGGGGTGGGGTTCCTTTGGCCTGCTGGGACACCTGGGATGGGGGTGGGGTTCCGTTGGCCTGCTGGGACACTCGGGGCTGTGGGGGTTCTGTTTGCCTGTCTGCAGTTCCTTTGGGTCCACACCCAGGGTGTCCTTCTGCACACATGTGGAGCTGGGTGCAGCCTTCAGACACTCATGCAACTCGGGTACCTCACGGCTGCAAAGCAGGGACGGCAGAGCCCGCCCAGGGCGTGGGGCGGCAGGAGGACAGAGCTGGACAGATGTTTCCTTGTTTTCCAGATCCAGAGACAGCGAGAACATGGCCGCCTGGGATGAAAAGGTAAAAGCCTGTGCTAGGGTGGCGTCCAGGGACCACCCAGGTCATCTTGCTCGGTGTCTCGCGCAGGACAGTGAGAATGTTTCTGCCACGCTGAAGTGTTTAAGATTTATTTATTTATGTATTTACTTATTTATTTATTTGAAAGGCAAAGTGATGGAGGTTTTCCATCTGCTGGTTCACTATGCAAATGCTGCAACGGCTGGGGCTGGGCCGAGCCGAAGCCAGGAGCCTGGAACCCCAGCCACGTCTCCCACGTGGGTGGCAGGGATCCAAGCACTTGGGCCATTTTTCCTGCTTTCCCAGGCATGTTAGCAGGGAGTTGAATCAGAAGCGGAGCAGCTGGGACTTGAACTTGTTCTCATATGGGATGCTAGCATCGTAGGCGGCAGCCTAGCCAGCTGTGCCACAACCCTGGCTCCTATTTTTATTTATTTGAAATACAGATCTTCGGGGCCAACACTGTGGCATAGTGGGTAAAGCCGCCGCCTGCAGTGCCAGCATTCAGTATGGGCGCTGGTTTGAGTCCTGGCTGCTCCACTTCCTATCCAGCTCTCTGCTATGGCCTAGGAAAGCAGTAGAAGATGGCCCAAGTGCTTGGGCCCCTGCACCTGAGTGGGAGACCTGGAAGAAGCTCCTGGCTCCTAGCTTCGGATTGGCCCAGCTCCAGCTGGTGCAGTCATCTGGGGAGTAAACTGACCAATGGAAAATCACGCTCTCTCTTTCTCTCTCTCTAATTCTACCTTTCAGATAAATGAATCTTAAAAAAAAAAAAAAGGATCTTCCATCTCTTGGTTCATTCCCTAAGTGCACACAACAACCAAGGCTGGACCAAGCCAGCAACTCCATCTGGGTCTCCTACATGGGTGGCAGGGACCCAAGAACTTGGGCCATCTGCTGCCTCCCAGGTTGCATTAGAAGGGGTGCTGGGTCAGAAGTGGAGCGACTAGGACTGGGTCCCAGGCTCTCCGATACGGGCTGCTGGTGTCCTAAGCTGCAGCTTAGCTCACTGAGCCGTAACGCCCAGGCCGTGTTGAAAGTCACAAAGGTGAACAGCTTCAGAAGGGGTCGCCGAACCTGCAGGCAGCTGATGCTGCGTGAGGCTCCTCCCCTCCCAGCTCTGCATTTTGATGACCACCCGAGCCTCAGTTCTTACCTGGAACAGGAGGACCAGAAGGTTGTCCAGGGAAGATCGGTGACACAGTGGTCTCAACCCCAGGCGGATGCTGGCCCCTTCAGGCTCCTCCTTGTCGCCGCTGTTACAAGTCAAGTGTCTTGGGGCTTGGCTGCTGTGCCGAGCAGGTGTAGCTGCACCGGGGCCACTTACGTCACATGTCTGAGTGTCTGGGACTTGAACCTTGAACATGTGAGTGCTTCCTGCTCACGTGCCCAAAGACTGCAGGCGAGGGCTCAAGTACTGGGGTCCCTGCCTCCCACGTGGGAGACCCGGATGGAGTTCCAGGCTCCTGACTTTGGCCTGGTGCAGCCAGGGTCATTGCCAGCATTTGGGAAAGGAACCAGCGGGTGGAAGATCTGTCTCTCTCTCTGTATCACTCTGCCTTTCACATCTTCAAACCGCAGAGAGGAAAAGCCACTTGCCCAAGATCAGGGGCTGGCAAGTGACAGAAACGGGGATTGTGCCTTGGCCTGGCTCAGAGCGGATGCTCTGCCCCTTGGGCCACGCAGCTGTCCCAACAGCACTGACCCTGTCCCTGATCTCTAGGCGCAGATGTGGGGAGTGTACTGGCTGTGGAGGAAGTTCGGGGTTCCCTCGGAGCTGCTAGCGTGGTCTGTGGGCTGTGTGGGGCGGGGCTAGCAGTTCAGGGGAGGGGGCGGAGTCCTAGGAGGCAGGGGGAGGGTCACTAGGACTCTGGGATGATAATGATGGTGACTCCAGCAGCTGTCAGAACTGAAGTCGGCATCAAAGAGACACTGATGGAAGCCATTCATGCTTGGCCTTTATTTGCCTGTTCAGTGGGGTGAACCACAAATGCACATGGTGGACGTGGAAGGCCACTGCCCCTCCCCATCCCATGCGCGTCAGGGGTGTCAGCCCTCGTAGCTGCCCTGGACAAAATCGGGCAGTGTGGACCAAGGCGAGAAAAGTGCTGGCGTTGAAGCCTGGCCCCAGCCCCAGCGGGAGGGAGAGGCCCCCTGGTGGAAATGAGCCCAACCCCGCACCCTGATTCTTCCCACGTTGGACGCCCTGGCTTGTAGATGCACGCAAGGCCCGTGGCAGGATGGACTTGGCAGAGGGGGCCGCCGTTGGGCACCGCCGGGGCTCCGAGGTGTGCAGGCGAGGCCTCCGAGCTGGCGATGAAGCTGTAGATGTGAGGAACGGTCGGAGCCCAGTGGGTCGTCAGCCCGCCAGACGGCTTGTAAAGGCACAGGTGTAACGCGTGCGGCTGGGGAGAGAACGCCGGGGCTGCGTGCAGCCTGGGAGGACATCTGGGAACCCTGGGTCTTTATCAAGGTGCTGTTTCAGCTCCGGTTTTTGCCGTAGGAGCACAGGAAGAAGCAGGTGTGGGGTTGAGTTCTGGTTGCTGGCGCGAGTGGCAGCAGGTGAGGCGGACTGGGGGTGTCCACGTGCGTCTGATGGGTCCCAGTGAAGCTGGGAGGTGCAGGGACAGTCCCAGGGTTGGGGCCTTGTCAGAGGCCTGTGCCAGGCCCCAGGAACAGCAGGCAAAGCACAGAGCCAACCTCAGGGAAGTCCCAAGGCAGGCGCCTGTTGGTCACCACCCGCAGGCTGACCTGGGTGGCACTGCCAGGGCCTGGGCAGAGGGGCCAGGGCCAGCTGAGGCCAGTATACCTCTCCCGGTTCACAGACTTTGTGGGACTTTGGACCTTCGAGAGCCCGCCGTGGTCTGAGATTTTGCCGTGGGGTTGCTTTGAGAGCCTGTTCGCTGTCCAGTTCCAGTCATCTGAGTAGAGGAGAAGCTGGGAGTTGGGGGTGGTGCTTAGCTCGGTGCACACCTGATCCACGGGCGCCCTGCTGGCCATGGACATCTGCCCTGCTCGGAGTCCCTGCCTGGCCCTCCGTGCCTCTCTGAGCATGTGCAGTAGGCCCCCTCTGCAGCGTGGCTCTCTCCCTCACACTGCATCTCCCCCAACCCCGGGGTCTGCACCTTGGCAGCCTTGGCAGGTGCACCTACACCTGGCCTCGCCGCCCCTCCTGCTCCAGGTGCAGCTCTCCTGTGTCTCCGGTGCCACCTCTCCTGAGCTGAGCACCCAGACCGACTGGCTCTGAATCTGAGCTCTTCAAAGCGTCCAGGCGACTGCAGTGTGCAGCGGGGCCATGAGCTGCTGGCTCCCTGGGCTGAGCGAGGTCTCCCTCTGCAGAGCGGGGCAGGGGAGAGGGGCGTCTGAACGCCGATCCGCGGTCATGTCCGCAGCTCATGCCCGCGTCGCTGAGACATGGGCTGGCGCAACTGAGTTGCACTGGTGGCAGCGCCTCCGTTGTAGCTGGGGAACCTTTTTTTTTTTTTCTATGCTTTCGTAAGACATAGCCCAGCTCTGCCCCTGGCTCAGCTGGCTGATGTCGCAGACTGTGGAGCTGTGCTCACCAGTTGTCAAGGGCCTGTGCCCCCTCACCCATGTCTTTCAAACTCAGCCCCTTGGTGTGTCTGGAAATCTGCTTAGTGGGCAGCCGTCAGCCTTTGCCATAGCAGAAACAAGGACTGCTGGGGTGTTCCGCGCACAGCCACTCCAGTGTCGGTTATGCAGCGTACGTGTCGGTGAGCCCGAGGAGCAGGATGTCAAACGCTGGGTTTCTTACCATGGAGCGCTGCGGCCCGCCAAGCGTGCGCCTCGCCAGCCGTGAGCCAGTGCAGAGCTTGGAGGTGGGGGGTGAGGGGGTGCCACAAGGCCTGACAGCCAGCCTGGGGCTCCTGGCTCTGCTTCTCACTGTCTGCGTGACCTGGGGCGAGTCGCTGGGCCTCTCTGTGCCCAGTTCCTGTCCCGTGCAGCTTGGAGAACAGCAAGTGAGGCGGGGACAGAGACAATGCCCGCTCTGCCCCGTGCTCGGCAGGTGCACTGGCCCGTCAGGAAAAGGGGGTAAAGTCGGGGAGCACTGGTGTGGGGGCCCTAGGCTCCTTTCAGGCTCCTCAGCCCCTGCCACCCAAGCTGGCCAGCCCAGTTGTTTATGTGCAGCTCAAACTTCCTCCCCGCTCTAGAGAAGGAAAAGTGGCTACGCTTATTTAGAGACTTCCCTGATTTTAAAAATAGCCATTCCTCAGAACGAGAAAGCCCCGGGGAGAGGAGAGGTGCTGGGGAGTGGCCACTGCTGGGCGTCGGCTGCCTGCCCGTGCTGTCCCCGCAGCCCACCCCGGGCGCCGGCCCACGCTCCAGGTGCGTGCTGTGGCCACAGCATGAGCTCAGCCCCGCCCAGCCTGTGGCCCTGCAGGGACGTGTGCCGTGGGGAGGCCTGGCCGGATGGCTGGAGGGGACTGAAGGAGGGAGGACAAGGCCATGGACGACAGATTGAAGTGAGAGCGCGTTCCAGGCAGAGGAAGTTGCCCTGCGAAGGCCCTGAAGTTGAAGGAGCCTTACCAGGGTCAGAAGGCCGAATGGTGGCTGTGAGGCCAGAGAGCAGGGGAAGATGGTGACGCTGGGTAGATGGCAGGGCTGGACCTCTGCCAGGTGCTCGGACATGCGTGCGCATGTCTCTGTGTGTGTGTGTGTGTGTGTATTATAGAAGATTCATCTTATTTACTTGAAAATCAGATATTCCACGTGCTGATTTACTTCCCCAAGGCGCTGGACCAGACCCAAAGCCAGGAGCCTGGAGCTCCATCTGAGTCTCCCACATGAGTGGCAGGGGCCCAAGCTCTGCTGCTTTCCCAGGCGCATTAGCAGGGAGCCGGATTGGAAGTGGAGCCATGGGGACTCGAACTCGTGTGTGATGCCGTTGTTGCAGGCTGTGGTTTGACCTGCACCGCAACACCAGCCCCTCGGTTTTTATTTTTAAGAGCGAAGGAGACTTGAAAATAAGAGAGTACGCCGGGCGTCCCCACGTCCACCCCAGGGTTGCTGCCTCTCCCGAAAGACTCCTGGGACCCCGCCTGCAGGGGTAGCCATGGCCAAGACTTTGGCAAAGGGCAAGTGCGCACAGGTGAAGTTGGCAGAGAGCAGGTGCAGGCTGCCCGTGTCCCCTCCGTGCGCTCACACAGGACACACGGATGTCCTCCAGCGTCAGCTGTGACCAGACCTGTGAAGTCCACCCCAGGTGGCACCCAGGGTCTTCACGGGGGTCGGGGGGGAGGGGGATCCTGTCACATCCGGGCCTGCTGCCTGGCACTGAAGACCCAGACTCCCTGGAAGGCAGGTACTCTGCGTGAATCACAGCTGTACCCACAGCGCGGTCCCAGTGAGCAGATCCTGGCAGGGAACCGTGGGACCCCGAGCACCGTTCTCTGTGCGGGGCAGGGCGTGGTCTCTGGCTGCTCATAGAGAATGCAGACTCACAGGGGCGAGGTGGAAGGAGCTGGGACATCCTGCAAGTCAGAGGTGGCTTGGCCAGGGTGGGGACAGAGGGTGGGGGAAGCGGACTGCTCGACTGTGGAGAGGCAGAGATGGGAGGGGAGGCAGGCCAGGACTGGGGACAGCCCCCCTGCCCCTGCCCAGGTGTGTCGAGCACCCCTGCCTGGGGAGACCCGGGAGCCAGTCCATGGTTGCACATGGGGAGGCCTCTGCCTCACCGTCAGCTAAGAGAGAGACTGCGTCCCGGCACCTCCACCCCCTCTTACGCCCACGTTCTTGGCTTTTCTGCTGGGTGAGCATCTTGGAACGGATGAGCCTGGTAGACTTGAGTTCCCGGCGGCTCTGTCACCTACTTGGGGGTTTTGTTTTGTTTAATTAAAATTTACTGGGTGGTGGGTGGAGGCGATTTTCCATCCACTGGAAGATCCTAAACGCCCACATCAGCAGGAGCTGGGCCAGGCTCAAGCCAGGACCCCAGAACTCGGTCTGTTTGTCCTGTGTGGGTGGCCGGGCCCCCGGCACTCAGGCCATCATCTGTTTCCCAGGCGCATTAGTGGGAAGTTGGGTCAGAAGCCCAGAGTTACCAGGACTCGAGCCGGGCATTGTGATACAGGCTGTGGGTGTCCCAGGTGGCAGCCTAACCTGTTGTGCACAACACCTGCCCCCATCTTGCTTTTCTTTCTTTTTTAAAGATTTCTTTGTTTATTTGAAAGGCAGAATTACAGAAAGAGAGAGCTTCCGTCTGCTGGTTCACTGCGCAAATGGCCATAACACCCAGGGCCAGGCCAGTTGGAAGCCAAGAGCCTGGAATTTTATCTGGGTCTCCCACGTGGGTGACATGAGACCCAAGAACTTGGGCCATCTTCCGCTGCTTTTCCAGGCACACCAGCAAGGAGCTGGATCAGAAGTGGAGCAGCCGGGATTCGAACCGGCGCCCATATGGGATGCTGGTGTTGTCACAGGTGGTTTGACACACTGAGGCGCAACACTGGCCCGTGTTTTGTTTTTCTTATCCTGGGACTCCAATGATGTACATATTGGTTCCTTCCCTCTCCTCTCCTCCTAAATATTTTATTCCCTACTCCATTTTCTGCAGGCTCACTCCTACCATGGCCGTTTCTCATGGTGCTGCCTAATGGATAACGGTGGCAAGCTTCTCTCCCCAAAGAACTCTTTGCTTAGGGTTGTTGGTTTTGCCGGTTTTCCTGCAGCCAGAGGTCAAAGTCGGTTTGTACAGGTGCTGTCCGTACAGGTGCTGTCCGTGCAGGTGCCGCCTGGTGAACAGCAGTGCTGGGAGTTCACTGTGCTGTGTGAGGGTGCTTTGAGGCTGTGCTTACAGGGGCTGCCGCAGCAGCAGCGTTGCGGTGGGCACGGTGCACATCCAGGATCTCCTGTCGGCTAGGGGTCTCCTGTCAGCTCCATGTTTTAGTAGAAACTGCTGTAGGGCTGACTGTTCCTATGCCTGGCACCTCACAAAAACTCAGCTACTCGTTCAAAAGATGAGAGAAGCGGGTGGGAATTGTGACCCGTATCACAGTGCCTCGCTCCAGGGCCGGCTACTCTGCTTCTGATCCAGCTTCCTGCTGATGCATCCTGAGAAACAGCAGGTGGTGGCACAGGTGCTTGGGCCCCTGCCACCCGTGTGGGAGACCCAGATGGAGTTCCGAGCTCCTGGCTTCAGCCTGGCCCAGCCCTGGCTGTTGTAGCCATTTGGGGAGTGAACCCATAGACGGAGAATCTCTTATTTCCCTCTGTGTAGGTGTCTCTCTCGTCCTCCCTCGCTGTCACACTGCCTTCCAAGTACAAATAAACTTCCATATTTTTTTTCTAAATGAAAAGGCCAGCGTTGTGGCTCGGCAGGTTAAGCTGCGGTTGCAAACACTGGTTTGAGTTCTTGCTACTCAGCTTCTGATCCAGCTCCCTGGGAAGGCAGTGGAAGATGCCCCTAGTGCTTAGGCCTCTGCCACCCACATGGGAGACCAGGAATGAAGTTCCTGGTTCCTGGCTTCAACCTGGCCCAGCCCCATCCCTTGCAGATATTTGGGAAGTGAACCAAGTGGATAGATCTCTCTCTCTTTTCCTCT